GCGCGCGCCGGGGCCGGGCCGGGCCCAGACGCACTTCCTCAATCCTGCGGCCGGCGGGCGGGGAGGGCGGGCAGCGGGCGGCGCGAAGAGCGCGCAGGGAGAGAGTTGGCCGCTGCTGGTCCTCCCCGGAACCGGCGCGGAGTCCCCGTGGCGGCCCGCCTCAGTTTCCCTAGCCGTAAACCGTAGGTGATCAAATTCACTGCTCCTGCCGAGGAGACGACAGGGCCCTCGGGCCCCTCTAGCGCGAAGTTTCCTCCAGGTTTGGGTACTCTGCTCTCTCCATGCGGCGTAGGCGCAGCGATTAAGATTGGTGGGTTCCCGGCTCAACCCAGCTTTCAGTGTCCCTCTGTTCTGTTCAGCTGCAAAATCCGCGGATTAACCTCTGACTTGTACATTGGCCGTGTACTCTGGCAGTAAACACTAAAAGGACAGGGAATATTCATTTGTGTACAACTCTATAGGGCCGTATAGAAATGGGTATTTTTAAAGCTTTAGTATTTTGGAAACTTCACCCCCTCCACTACATGAATTTAGTAATTTAATTATGGACATATGCAAACATGTCGTTATTTGATGAATCATTTTAAATTGGTTTTTTGGGGGGGAGGGATAGATAAAACATGGTGGAATGTTCGCAATTTATTGTTTCAACCTAATATAAGGACGTTCATCACACCGTTGAGGCCATTACCCAAACGCAGACCATAAAGATGCACGTCCGTGCTGCAGGCAGGCCTCAGGTTCGGCTCCAAGTGCCCACCGGGGAAAGAGAAGCCTGCTCAGAAAAGGCAGATGGTTCTGCACCCTGGCAGGACCTGCACCCTAGGTTCCTCTCATGTAATGTCACGACTGGAACACTCCCAGGATTTAGCACGAGGCAGAGACAAATCGCCACCACCCTCACCGCCATTTCACGAAAACAGAGCAGCCGCAGGGCCCCCACACCACCTCGCGGACACTCCGGGCGCAGAGGCCACTTGGAGTGGCTCTTTGGGCCCCTGGTTTGCGAGGGGACCACCGGGCAGCTTTGCTCTGCTCCCAAGAGGCTGCCCTTCCAGCTCCCGCCACGAGACGCCCTTCCAAAAGGGTGGGCGCAGTTTTGCTATCCTGTTCTCACCACTGCGGTCCTAATTCCAGTATGCAAAAGGCAGCAGTATGATTGCTATCGAAAAGTCCCTAATAATTTGCAGGGCGTGGTGTCTGCAGCGCTGAGTGAGCCTGACGACCGCTGGGCTGCGCCTCTAGGGCGCGCGGCCCCCCATCTAGCGGCACCGTGAGGAAGCGCACGCCCAGTGCCGGGGCAGACACGGAGCGGACGTGGCCCATGCGAGTGGGGGCAACTCAACTTCCCCTTTAAATGAGCTTGGGAATCGGCTAGGAAATGTCTCCAATGTAGAAAACAGCCGGGACACTCGACACAGGGAGGCCTGTTTCAAGCTGGTTATATCCTAGCATTTAACTCTATCCGTTAGGCATGCGTTAGTCACAGGTTTGCATAGGACAGTCGTTAACAGGTTAAGATTTCTTACTGCTTCTTGAACCCCGCTGACCCATGGTCCTCCAGCTTTTGCTCTGCATCTTACCGGATTCTCAGCAGCTCATGTTGGCATGACCCCTCCTAAGGATGGGTCAGGTGAAAGCTACTCCCTGACCTGACATTTCTGCCTTCTGAAGGCATAGTGGCTGACTACCCCCTCCGTGTCTTCTAGTCATCTTTCTTCAGCTGGGTACTCAGTTTCCTCAGACATTCTTCCTTGGGCCGTTTTTTTAAATGTCCCTCATCTACTGTCCAGCTTGGGTCAGCCATGTGCCAGGAGCAAGGACAGTAGAAGGAAGCGAGGGCATTCCAAAGGATCTACCTTTAGAGAACGTGCCCATCTCCTGCACCCACCCCCACACGCACAGAAGTGCACACGTGCACACACACATTCACACACCACAGCTGGTCTGTGCCCCCAGGATGGTTGCCTTCAGAGAGTCATGCTCTGGTAAACCAAAGGAAGGCAAAGGTCATTTTTCTCGAATTTTCTGCTCACATCTGGATTGAGAAATGGGAGGTTTCTCAATATATTAATGCATACATAACGTGCATACATTAAGAGGTATCTGATCCCAGACTCCCTTAAGTTTTCTGTTAAAGGTTGTGACGTTGCCACTGCATGGCCAAAGTGATCTGGGCTCTCACATCAAATGCCCAGGTTGAGCCTGGTGGACCCAACTAAGTACAAGGAATGCTCTTGATCCAACCTCAGTGTCAGCTCATGACTTGGTGATCGACACTTCTTGGTTCGAAGCCTTAGAAACTTTAGGTAAGTTAAACCCCAACACCTAGATCCTCATGTAGAAAAGTGACAAAAATGGATACTTGTGCACACAGTTGGGGGATGCCACATTTTTCCTAAATTCCCATGCAATCCTCCCCACTATTTTCCACACTCATGTCCTCATCATTCTATGATAAAACAAGACTCAGGCAGCTTAGATGACAACTTAAATGTCGCCAACTAAGACAAGAGTCTCTGAGATGAGCTCCCTGCCTGGTCAACCGCCAAAACCACAGACGTGGATTTCACACTCAGGCTAAGCGCTTGGCCTGATCGATTGAGCAAACGTAAATTTATTCTTAAGTTATTGGTGCTGCTTCATTACAAGCCATGTTGTACAGAAGGTCTAAGAAAGAGAAAGGTCGGCCACAGAATTAAAATGGGTTTGGTCTTTAAATAAAAAAACAAACGTTTTTCAAATATCCAATTTTATTTTATCATTGCTGCATTGTTGAACACAATCTGCAGTCAGGATCAGAATTCCCAGGCTAATAGATTTTTAAACCATACCACAGGAGTAAACCTTAAAAGAAGTGAAGTCTAATAGTAAATAGATTTCCATTTCTAAATACAATATATTACAGAAGGTTAAATATATCACCTCTGTGTACTTACAACTATAAAAAGATACATTAAGTATACCAATTATAAATAATGTAGCATTTCATATTAAAGTCATTATTGTACAATGAAAGAATAAGAACCTTCTAATGCATTATTATCAAGGTTAGTGTCTATAGATACTTGAGATAAAGTCCTGAAAATTCAGTGTATACAGTCAAATCCTGATTTAACAAGTTACTCATAATATAAGTGATAAGTGTTAATTAACAGAGAGAAGGTGAATTGTGTATTGCATATTGCTGACAAGAATAACCCCATTTCATATATGAATTTCTTTATATATATACTGTTTTTGACATAGACCTTCATCTCATTATTGCCCCCCCAATTTAATTCTCAAACATAAGCACCATTAGAAAAGACTAGTTAGTAACAGTAAAAGTATCCGAATAACACAATTTAAGTTTGTTTTTGTTTTTTGTAAAGCTACATGGGAACACTTTCAGTTTTCCAAGTTAAAACATGGATTTGAACATCATTTGGATACAGAAAGAGGAAAAGAAGAATTCACAACTTGTGAGTGCAGGACTCAAGCTGCTTTAGTAGGAGACCCAGTCCCTCCATGGAGTTCAGGTGTTATTTGTTAATTAATCATTAATTAATATCAAAATAGGACTTGAGAAAATCAGAGCTGTATAATAGCAATCTTTCCAGTCGTGTAGTTTTACTAATCTAGAATGGATAACCCAACCGGAGAAAGGAAAACTATATAGGCTTCTCATACACCGTTAATGCATGTGATAGAAATGCATAATTAGTAACAGCGAATTATGGCTCTGCTTTGTAAAAAGCGGGACTCAATTATCCTAGGATTTGCTATGCTATTGTAGTGTCAGAACAGGGGGTCCTTAGCAGCGATGGTGACACTAGTGATGTTTTCTACCTAAGAAAGTGCCTTGGTTAAGGTAGACTCTGACATGGTTTTAGACAAGTTTTTTGGGCTGTTGATTCGGTCATATTCCAAAGGCAGTACTGGTTTGAAGCTGAGTCCTATTGTCAATGGCAAGATGCAGTCCTCAAAGACCCACGCCCGTCCATAGCCAAGGCCTCCAGTCTCCTTCCATGGCACATGCTTCCCCAAAGCTCCCCACACTGGCTCCTCGCATTCCTGTTTTTTTTTTTAACTTAGTGCTAATCCTTTCCCATTGAATGGGGCTGGATCTGTGGGCAGGTAACCCTGAGGAGACCGCAGGTGCAGGGCCCTGTTTGCAGAACACGCAGGGAGTTACTTTCCAAATTCTTACTGGAATCAGAGTCAGCAAAGCATTTTTAAGCGACTGCTGGACAATTCAAATACAACTTCCTGTTGCAAAGCCCTGAGCCTCTTCACTGTCCCCGGGGCCTGGTGGAAAGGGGAGAATAGCAAGGACTCATAGCTCCATCCCCAGGCAGGACTGTGACTCCACACACAACATACTGGTCAATAAAACAGGAGTGTGAGAGGAAAGACAAATCAGTCCAATCCAGTAGATTTAAAGTCTCCAGAAGAAAGTATCCCGGAAGGTCAGAAATGTAGTTTTTTCTTCGGCAAGTTCGATCTGCCACATTCAGCTGTTGAATGTTGGAGGAAGGAGCCCACCTCTCCTTCAGGGGTTCTTGTCATCGAGTTTGATGGTGACAGTTTTCACTTCAGTGTATTCGGCCAGAGCATATTCACCTCTGTGATCATAGAAAAGAGGAGAATTCACAATGGCATGTCCCTGAGCGGTGCTGTGGGACCCCTGTTCCAGTGCTGGGTGGGCTAGTGCTCTGCTGGGCAGTCTGGAGTTTATGCAAAAGGTCACAATGCGATGAGCTGATAGATAATGGCCAGGACTATAGCACCATTAGTAAGTTTAAGTAACTGGATATGTAACTTAAGTTTAAATATCAAGTTTTTTGTGTGTGATGCTCTTGAAATATTCAGAAGGACTAAGGGTTTGCCTTTAAAGAATAAAGGGGATTAAAAGAAGAGGTGATTTCCCTGGATGGAGGAGTAGAGAGCTAGAAGAGAGGGTCTGCGTGGGTGAGGGAGGAGGGAGCTGGGGAGCAGACATTACACTGGGTTTATAACGCTGGCAATTGGGAGCCACTTGAAGAGACAGAAGAGGCAGAGGCCCAAAGCTGTTGACTGGGGATGTGGCCAGAGGATCCATGAGGGACAGGGACACGGAGGGCCTGGAGCTGGCCTCAGAGCACATGGAAGGGTGAGGTGGCCTGGAGCGGCGAGGGGAGCAGACATTAGCACAGACTGGACACAAGGAGATCACAGCCTTGGAGTTAGCATCTTAGGTATATGCCCTTTCGTTAGGTCCTGAAGAGCCCAGGGGACCCTTCTTGGGCATCATGGGCCGTCCTCAGGGCAGCTCCCCTTCCCAGAACTGACAGGCAGCTTTGGATTGATTTAAATACCTCTATAACACTTGTTCTGCTATTAAATAAATCAAAATGTATACCTGTTTAGGAAAAGAGGTGGAAGCGGAGGTGGCCACCGGAGGTTCTGCAGCTAAAAAGACTTGAGACAGAATCCCATCTCACCCCTTAGACCAGTGCTTCTCAATGTGTGGTCCCCAGACCAGCAGCATCGGCCTCACCTCAGAACTTGCTCAAAATGCAGATTCTCAAGCCTCCCCCAGACCTACTGTGGGAGGCAGAATAATGCCCCCTGACACACAAATGTGTCCATGTCCTAATCCCTCGAAACCGTGATTATGTTAGGTTATGTGGCAAAGGGAAATTAAGGTTGAGGTGGAATTAAAGTTGCTAATTAGCTGACCTTAAAATAAGGAGAAAATAAGGGCCCAGTTAATCACAAGCATCCTTAAAAGTGGAAGGAGGAGGCCGAAGATGAGAGTCACAGGGAAATGAGGCTACACAAGCAGGTTCAGGGAGATGCAACAGTGCTGGCTTTGAAGATGGAGGAAGAAGCCACCAGCCAAGGAATGTGGGAAGCCTCTAGAAGCTGGAAAAGGCTAGGAAGCATATTCTCTCCTAGAGTCTCCAGAAAGGAATGTAGCCCTGCAGATACTTTGATTTTAGCTCAGTGAGACTGTGTCAGATTTTTATCCTACAGAACTGTGAGATTATAAATTTATGTTGTTTAAGCCACTAACTTTGTGTTAATTTGTTGTAGCAGCAATAGAAAACTAATACACCTACTGAATCTGGGGGCAGGGCCCAGAAATCTGTGTTTTAACAAGCTAGGGGATTAACAATCCAGGGGATTCTGATGCAGCTCAAGTTGGAGAACCACTGGATTAGATCTAAGTAGCTTAGGCAAGTTCTTTGCCTTCCCTGAGCCTCAATTTCATCATCTGTAAAATGGGAATACCATCACCTCCTTGTAGTTATGATTAGAGATATTCATATAGAGCACCTACTGTGTGCTAGGTAAAAAGTGAATGGTAGAGAGTAATATTATTATTTTATTATCAATAAGTCATTGAGATTTCTTGGTAGTTTCCTAAAACACACAGTTCAAGAACCCAGGATAGTGGGTGAATTTTTTTGTAATCTTTTCTAAACATAACACAAAATATAAAAGCCTTACACAGAATGCTAAATTCAACTTTTGTAGAGCAGAAACTCCATTTAAAAAAACCCAAAGACAAATAAGAAACTAAAAAAAAAATGACACTTAGAGCCCTGTGTGAGAAACAGAGTGCTGTTTTCCTTAATATACAAAGAGCTCTTACAAATCAATTAAAAAACTCACAAACAACCAAAGGGAAAAATCAACAAAGGACATGAACAGGCAGTTCGCAGAAAAAGAAATACAGATTACCAATAAGTGTGAAAAAGTTGCTCAACCCCCTCGCAATTAAAGAAATGCAAACCAAAAGAGCAGGGAGCTCATTTTTCATGTGGCTGATTACCCAATTTTAGGAACTTACTCTGAAAACAATCTCCCACAAGGGCATAAAGATTTATGCACAAGAAAGAATATCAGCATAGTTTGTAATAGCAAAACACCCTGGAAACAACACAAAAGTCCATCGTAGGAGACCACCAGTAAAAAGGAAGACAGAATATCCAAAGCCCATTCTTAAAAGAAAAAGCAGTTTGCTCTCATTTCACTTGAAAACTGGAAAGGACATACATATTTACATCCATTGTATGCAGAGAAAATGCACAATAACATTTAAAGATTTTATTTATTTATTTTTTCCCCCCAAAGCCCCAGTAGATAGCTGTGTGTCATAGCTGCACATCCTTCTAGTTGCTGTATGTGGGACGCGGCCTCAGCATGGCCGGAGAAGCAGCGCGTCGGTGCGAGCCCGGGATCCGAACCCGGGTCGCCAGCAGTGGAGTGCGCTCACTTAACCACCAAGCCACGGGGCCAGCCCACACAATAACATTTAAAAGTGAGCATATAGTGTTGCATTGTAAAAGTTCAAAGTAGTTCATGATTTATCAACTTAGTAAAGAAAAGAAAAGCAAACCAAGTGATGAAACCATGTTGAGTTAGCACATAACTAATCAGTCCAGTATTAAATCATTCCTGTAAGATGAAGTGCATGAATCACTTCATTCTTTCTATTCCTGCCATCACTGCCCTCGTTCAAAATCTTGCTGCTCTTATTCAACCCACTGCATTGTCTCTGAACTGGCTTCTCATCAAGTCTCGACCACCATAGTGCTCAAGGCCATCCATGGGCCCAGCCTTTCTCCCATTAGACCTCCAGAAGTCAGAAGGGAGAGGGACTGCGACTGTACTGTTCACTGCTCTGTGCTCAGAGCCCAGCATGTGCCCAGTGCATCAAAAGTGCCCAATAAATATTTGCCAGGTGAATGAATGAGCAAAGGAACAAATGCATGACTGAACAGTGTTACCTCTAACAGATGGAATTGAGGGTCAGGGGCGGGAGGCCTTGACTTTCCACGTCTCTACAGTGTGGATTTTTTTGTTACTGTATTACTTTTATTGCAAAGCAAAACAAAGAACTAAGAAAAGCGCCCAGGAGGAAGAGAAATTGCAGGCTTCATCCTAAGACCTGCACAGGAACAGATGGCAGACGGGCCTGTGGGTGGGCGGCAGATAGCCAGCCCTAGCCAGGCGGCCTGGGATGGGGAAAACCATGGAATCCACCACACAGTGCTCCAGCTAAAAAAGGGGAACTTAGTGCAACACGAAGACATCAGTTAGAGATAACTGAAAACGGAAATTGGTTTTCAAGGCAGTTTCTAGGCTCCTTGTGAATTATGCTAAAGTACTTTATCAAAAGCCTTGGGAAAATATATGCCAAGTGTCAAAAAAAAACAGACATTCAAAAAAAGTCCCGACTGTGGCTATCTGGCAGGATAAAACATGGACCGTGTTCAGTGCATACTCACCCGGCCTGATCTGCGCCAGGCCGGGGGTTTGCTAAGGACCAAAGCACTGTCGTGGGTGGGAAGGGAGACGGAGGCGACACCGGTGACGCAGGTGAAGAAAGCGATAAGCGAATAGTTGGTGTGAGTCAGTACACCAGAAGTCAGGTGGGCCCCATACTCTTCCCACAGCTTCGACATCTAGGGACATCTGCTTTGGAGACTGAAGTTCTTGCTGTGGGAAGAGGCTGTGCCTGGCCTCTGGGAGGAGGACCTTGTGGGGTTCTGGGTCCCCCAGCTGTCATGACCTGACTGGTTGAAGGCAGCAGGTCAGAGGAGACAAATGACCATGTGTGCCCTGGCTGGCTTCATCCCAGGTGACTTATGGAGGTGACCCCCGCTGAACACAGCCCTGTGGGGTAGTGGGTCCACGGTCCTGTGGGGTAGTGGGTCCAAGGGTTCAATCCCAACTCTGTCACTTGCTGGCAGTGTGACCCGGGGAAGGCATTGGAACCTCCCTGGCATCCCCGGGTTTCCTCATCTGAAAACAGGGATCATCTGAAAACAGGGATAGCAATAGTACCCACCCACAACAGACTGAATGTTTATCTCCCTCTGAAATTCATATGTTAAAGCCCTAACCCCCAATGTGAACGTATTAGGAGGTGAGGCCCCTGGGAGGTGATTAGGTAATGAGAGTGGCGCCCTCGTGAAAGGGATTAGTGCCCTTATAAAGGAGATCCCAGAGAGCTCCCTTGCCCCTTCCGCCATGTGAGGACACAGAGAGAACATGGCTGTCTATGAACCAGGAAGAGGGCCCTCACCAGACACTCAATCTGCTGGTGCCTTGCTCTCAGACTTCCAGACTCTAGAGCTGTGAGAAATAAATGTTCATTGTTTAAGCCACCCAGCCTGTGGTATTCTGTTACAGCAGCCTGAACAGACTACAACCATCTCATGGACTGTTGGGAGGACGGCATGTATCAACATGTGCAGGGTGCTCGGACAGAGCCTGGCAGAGTCTGTGCTCAGCAAATGCCAGTTGTTGCCAGCGTTACTGCTGTTGGGGGGCCCTGGAGGGGACCTGGGTGACCCCAGCTCAGGCCTCATGTCTCTTGTGGGCAGGTAGCTGTGAAGAGGTAATGAACAGAGGCTCACAGAACACAACACAAAAAAGCCACTCAGGGGAAGGAATGAGGTTTCTGCAAAGGGTCTTCCTGGCCAAGAATTTACTGAGGTTCCCTGCAGGGGAAATCAGCCATAGGAATTAGGTGGAGACCAATGGACACACTCTACTCAGATGTTCAGACAGCTCTGGGGTACTTGCCATGAGTCAGGAATGGACTAGAAAGAAGAACCAAGATGGGGCAAGGGACCCCAATTCCATAGAGACTGGTCAAGAGCATTTGCTCAGGAATGGAAGGCAGCCTCATTCTTTCATAATATCTTTATTAAGAATCTGGACGGGGAGCTGCCCAAAGGCCCTACCAAGACCCAGGCCGAGGGGAAGTGTTTGGGTATCCCCACTGGAAGATGAACAAACACATATGAGGTAATGGTTTGTATATAAATAATACAAACTGTTTAAATAAAAGGAAGAGCTCAGAGCCCTTCAAGATGTCCCAGGAGCGGCCCTTTGTGTTGTCATAGATGGTCCCCCTGGGAAGATTGATCCTACAAGCTGTTTGTCCACAAAGCCTAATAAAACCCCAAGTACCACCAAGAAGGACGCGAGAGAGAAGGCAGCGTCCAGCTGGAAACCACAGCGTGTCCAGCCCCGGAACACTCCGTCCAGCTCTGTGCCTGGGCCTTTATCTTGGGCCAGACAGAAGAAGGCCTGTGCATTAGTCTATGCCTATGGAGCTCATCTTCCCAATGGGCAAGAAAGAAAGGAACCGTGAAGGAGTATGTGGTGCGTTTGAAGGAGCCATGGAGGGCAAGCAGGCGATGCTGCAGTATGCCTCACAAAGAGGCATCAAGAAGGAGCCAGAGTCGCCCATGGTCTGTCCCAGGGGCCTCTGCTAGGCTCAGAAAGCAGGGAGACAGAGCTGGAGCCCCACCAGGGAGAGAGCCTATCTTCCTCGCTGAGGGCCAGGGTTTGTGTGAGTGATTACATCCTGTGTCTGGCAAAATAGTGCACTTTTCAGTTTTGCCCTTATCCTCAACTAGCAAGCCTATGTCAAGCATCTACTGAACATCCCCATGTGTGATGAATACTGGGGAGGACACATCAGCTGAGGCTGGAGGTTGATCCTGGGGCCTGAAGGAGCACAGCATGAAGATGACAGTGGGGAAGGGCAGAAATGGGAAGGCAGGAAGGGGCAAGAGGAGGGGAGGGATCCATACCAGCTTGAGAGGGAAAGGACCACCACCCTTCCTGACACGGCTGACTCAAGACTGACACACAAGAGCCCAGGTCAGTGGACTGGAGCACACACCACCACCCTGCCAATCTAGTATATTTTTCATTCACCCCACTGGCAGGCGTGGAGTAATGGAAACACTTACAGTTCTCTGCCATTTCCAGACATTTTAAAGCCACCAAATGGAGCCTGTGCGTAGATGGCATTGTAGCAGTTGATCCTAGAGAAAGAATGAAAAGATGCTCACGATTACCCGGAGAAGTAGGATCTTGGGCTGGATCTTGGGCGTTCTGGCTATTGGGTGCTTGATGCAGAGTGTTGCCTAGTGAACGATCTTTTGTCAAAGTTTTAATAATGAAAACAGTGTGCTTTCAACTTCTGCCTTCTCTTTCTTGCCACCAGAAACTAAAATTTGAATATTCTTAAGTATAAAGCTTTTTGGAAGCAACGACTTCCATCCATACTTTGCACAGGACCATGCACTGTTTTTAGAATCAGAATCAAAAACAGCGCCAGAGGGGGTGAAGTGTGAGGAGCAGTCCAGTCTGGTGGTCAACAGCAAGGGCAGCAGAGCTGGATGGCCGGCTCCGAGCTCTGTTCTGCCACGTACTAGCTGTGTGACCCTGGGCAAGTCACTGGGTCTCTCTGTGTCACCATTTCCTTATCTGTAAAATGGAGACGATAATAGTACCTACCTCGGAACGTGGTCATGAGGATGGAGCAAAGCACTTTGACAGTGCTTGGTACCCAATATGTGACTAGAAGTTCTCTGTTGGGAGAAGAGTAATGAAGCCAGCAGCTCAGGAGAGCCGAAACACACACACACTTTACTCACCAGACAGTCCCAGACTCTAACGCGGAAGCCAGCTTCAGTGCTTTGTCGAGGTTTTTTGTGAACACAGCTGCTGTGAGTCCATATTCAAGGCTATTTGCTCTTTTTATCACTTCTTCAATACTTTTGAACTTCAGTATTGGCTGCACCGGTCCAAAAATCTATGATTAATTGCAAGAATGGCAGTGAGAGGCATGTTGGAATGAAATGTGCATGCTCTGAGCAGGCATTTCGTTTTATGCCTTTTTTCATAAACCCAAAGTGCTCACATGCAAGAGAAACAATGACTAGAGAAGAAAGAACATCCAAAGATCTTTTTAGCTGTGTGATAGTTGAAATCTGAAGGGAAGGATTCAAATAAAACAAAAATAAAAATAACACGCAAAAGTGTAGGTCGGGTTTAAGATCTCTGACTGTCATCAGGGTGTCTGAGAAGCCCCAGCCCTCGAGCTTCGGGACAGCCTCTGCACTCTGGGATGCACAGAAGACAAAACCCTGGAAGATTTTCTTGGAAAGTTATCTCGAAGGATGTTTACAGGCACAGCTGTGGGACGTGTGCCCCACCCCTTTGTGCTGCACTTTCCACCAATGAAGATGCCCTGAAATGTTTCCCTAATAACTCGCAGGGGAGGGAATGAGACACTGTTCCTCACAGTCTAGGACACAGCAAAGAAAAGGAAAGGAAAGAGCTTGAGGCTGAATTTTTAAAAGTAACTTTGAAGGGAGCCTGTAATTGATTCAATGTTTGGCATGACTGTAACCTAGCAGGATGAGGCCAGCTGCTGAAATATCTTCCCAGGTTCCCTAGAGCTCTTGCCATAGAGAGGTTTAGAGAGCTGAGTCTCATGCCATCAGAGAACAGTTAATAAGCCATAAAAATCTCACAGAGAGAGTCTATAAAATATCCACACAGTAAGCCCTCAGTAGTGATTCACTCTTTCATGCGTCCCAAAAGGCCACATCTCAGGGTCCAACCACCTGGGACCCAGGCAGGAACCAGTTTCCATCTAGCTTAACAGTGGAATTGAAAGACAAAATTAGATTTACACTCTTGTGGGGTCTCCTTAATTTCCACCATTTCCAAGGATGCCCATGATGGAAAATTTCAAAGAGAATTCTAGCTGTCACATGTTCTTTGAATGAACACTTGTCGTTTAAGTTCAGTCTAGGGGACTGAAGACAGCTTTGGGCCCCGAATCCATGGCTCGATTCCTGGCAAAACCCATAGGTGTCAATAGCCCTCCATCCCGGGCTAACCCAAGGATGTGTTAGAAGATGGAAGAGGAATTAGTGCTCCCCAGAGACGATGAATGTTGAGTGGAAATGGGGTTAGGACAAACTCTGCACCCACTATACAGTCCTCAGGGTTCGCCAGAGGCAGGGGGGCAAGATGGCTTCCCTAAGGACCCCAACGGAGAGGCAAAAGGCCACAGGAGAAAGGAAGATGCTCTCCTCACAAAGATTTCTGGGATTCTGGGGCCCTAGAGAAGACTCTTGTTTAAAAGGCCTAGTCCCCCTTCCCCCTCCCTCCAACCCGAGCTCAGAATGAGGCCCCAGTACCTCCTCTCTGGCAATCCGCATGGTGTCAGTAACTTCTGAGAAGACAGTGGGTTTGATGAAGAGCCCCCTGTCTTCTATGGCTGAGCCTCCACATTCCAGCTTGGCTCCCTCCTTCTTCCCACTCTCAATCAGATCGAGGATTTTGTTCAACTGCTTTTGATCAATCTGCAAAACACAACGGGAAGTATAGCCTGGCTTCCTTCTGGGCAGAGGCTGCCATCTTGTATGTCCATCGGCCTTCAACATGATCAGCTGTCCTACCCCTAAATGTGCTGCCAAGTCATAATTCATGGAATAAATGTGCCGTGTATGCAAATGTTCCTCTGATGCACAAATCTAGGCTCTTTGGAGCAGGGGAGAGCTGGGGGGATAGGCTCTTCTCATCCTCTCCAGGTGTGGGACTTATTCATACGTCTGTCCCCACTCCCAGCTGCTCCCAGCAAATCAGTGGGTGAAATAGGATCTGAACTGGCCACATTCTTTGCTCTCCCAACGCTTTGTATACCGCGCTGGGTCACCAGATTTAGCAAATAACACTATAGGATGCCCAGTTAAATTTGAATTTCTAAAAAACAAAGAATGATTTTTTTTAGTGAATGTTATGCTAAAAGTGTATTTGTTGTTTACTTGAACTTTAAATCTAACTGGGTGCTATGTATTTTATCTGGCAACCTAGTGCCCTGCTCACAGGGCACCATGGATCGGGGTAACATTTATTGGAATTCTCCATCCACATTGCAGAGAAGAAGTGAGAAAAAAATTGACCACCTTACTCAGCACCCCGAGAATCAGAGTGGAGTGAGGCTCCATTTGGGCCGCTCCTTGGTTGGCGAGGAGCCAGCTCATCTGAAAGCCTCCACCTTCTGCCACCTCGTTTAGGGGTCTCCCAGGCCAGAGTGCACCCCGTACCACCAGCCTAACATCCAGCTTGTGGTCATGGTACCCAACCAGCCGTCAAAGAGCACCCCTTTGGGAGACTGTGCTCAAGGGGGGAAGTGCTCTCCCCACCCCTACTGGCCTTTCTTCCTAAATACACGGGAGCCCTGTTCTTGATCACGACCTTGTTGCTAGTCCCCTCCTCCTTGACTGAGAGAGACAGAACTTTCATAGGTTTGCTGTAGCTGAGATTTTTATATAGAAAAACTGGTTTCATTTAAATAACTTTAAATAAAAAAATAAGCAAACTCAATGGTGCATTTGGATGACTGTCAGTCTCTCAGGAGCAGGCTGGCTTTCTCAGCAGGGGTGGACACGAACCATGCATGTCACTTGACCAGTCATCTCAGGAAGTGTGGATCCAGTGTTAAAATACCAAGTTGGATCCATACCTCACACCTTATACCAGGATAAATTCCAGACACATCAAAGACTTAACCATGAAAAACAAAAGCATACAAGTTTTCAAATTCTCTCCTGTGGGAGAATGCCTCCATAAACTTGGAGTGCTGATGGCCTCTCTATGACTCGAAATCCAGACGCCAAAAAGAAAAGACTGATAAATTTGAGTGTGTAAAAAAAAAAAACAAAAAAGGCAAAAACATCATAAGTAAAGTTAAAGGGTAAAACAACAAACTGGAAAAAACTGACAAGTCATATAGATATAGAGCTAATCTCTCTAGTATGGAAAGAGTTCTTAGAAGTGATAAGAAAAATGACCAGCAATGCAAGAGAAAAATATGCCAAGCACAGGCACAGTTGATAGAAAAGGAACTACAAATGGCTTTTAAACATATGATAAGATGTCCTACCTCACTCATTATAAGAGATACGTGCATATTAAAGTGAAATGAGATAACACTTTTAACTATCAGAAGGCCAAAAATCCATATTCTGTTAGTAAGGCTGGAGAAACAGAGAAGGTCATACAAGGTTGGTAGGAACATAAATTGGTTCATCCTCTTGGAAGGTAATTTAACAATGCTTCTAGAAATTACAAATGTGCTCCCACTCAGCAATCCCACTTGGGGAATCTGTCCAACGGATTTCCTTGCTCGTGTGTAAAACAACATACTCTGTGGCATCGTACATGACTGCACACACCCACAGGTCCATCGGAACATGTTATTTGAATTCTGGTGGATTCATACAGCAGAATTCTGTGCACGTATGAAAAAGAACGAAGCAGGTTCTCATGGACTGGTATGGAAAGCTCTTTAGGTTTCTTGTTAGGAGACAAAAAGCAAGGTGTAAAACAGTATAGAAAGCACAGTTATCTTTTGGGTAAAAACGGGAAATCAGAATACATACTCATATTTGCTTGTATACACATAAAGAAATTCTAGAGAGATACACGAGAAACTAAGAACATGGGACACCCATGGAGGGCAGGGTAAGAACCAGACCCATGAATGGAGGGGGAGGAGGAAGGGAGCCTGTTCACTATTGATCTTTACATGTGTTTGGGGTTTGACCCATGTGTATGCACTCCCACTTGAAAAAGTAATTCAAACCACTGCAATGGATCCAGTAATATCTCCAGGTTCTCTCAACTTCCCTCTGGATAAACCAAGCCTTGGGGTTGAAAGTTCCAGGTGTTGCTCTCCTCCTCTCAGGAGGCCAAGAGGGCTTTTGGGGCTCCATATAAGGACAGGTCCTGAGTCGCCACTAACCATGTAAGACCAGGCTGGACGCCCGTCTGTCCTGCAAGCAGTGCCGGGTTCCCATGGAAACCGTACACACCCAAACGCAACTCTCCCTGGCAAGTCCGCACAAACACAATGTTTAAATCTAACCAGCCCCCATGAAAGGTCAGCTGGTGCCTTACAGTGCAGGAAGAAGAACCTGCCGGAAGTGATGGACGTGGCAGGGGACAGCACCGAGACAGAGAAACACGGCCCCTGAAGGCCGGCCAGAGGCTGTGCTTGGCTCTGGGGGGAGGATGCAGATCTAGCCCTGCCAGGTGGCCTGCATGATGGTTATGTGCCTCGTTGCTCAGTTGCCAAATAAACCTGAATGATTTTGGAGCATTCCGGCGAGCGGCTGCCTGCAGTGGACGCGGATCTAGGTCAGCTAGCTGTTTCACAGGCATGAGACAGACAGGACTATTTAGACAGAAGTAAGTCCTCTCAGAGTAAAATCTTATTACCATAGATGAAAAAGCACTTTAGGGAAAAAATCCAACAGCAATCTAAAATAATAAGCTGAGGTTAGACAGCTTAAGTGAGCTTTCAAAAGGACTTGCAACAGCAGCATCAAAAGCACTGATGAAATCAACACCCATTCTACTTGGATCTGCTGTCTTGGAAGAGATTTGTACATCTGGTTTCAAAAGTCAAGCTCGGAGTCTTGGAAAGAGACTTACGAATAATGATGGGGTAAAACGGTTTCCTTAGGATGGGATCAGCTCACGTATTTTCCACAGATTCTGGATTAGTTTTAAAATCATAGTAGATTTGATAATGACTTGTTGCTATGTTTGTATTCAGCTCTGAAATCCAACCAAGGCCACTAGACAACTGTTGTGTCACTGGCCGCTGGGTGGAGCTGAGGCCTGGCAGGATGGGGAGTGTTGGCCACAAGTGGAGATGCTTCTCTCCCCCAGGGCCACGTGGCCTCAGAGCCGCAGAGCATGTGGGTGGGGGCAAAGGAGGGTGGGCACTGTGGCCAGAAATGTACCTTTTCTACATAGTCCTCCCCCCTCCTCAGCGCGACCCCACAGGGTAGTCAGGCAAGACCTGACGACACGGCCTGAAGTCATGCACAGACATTCACTGCCCCCTAGATGAGGGAGCCTGTCATTTAATGCTCTCCCCTTTAAAAAATAAAAATTTATTAGGTGCCCTGAAATTTTCATAATATTCATCGATTATTCCCATTTTCCAGATGAAAAAATTGAGGTTTGGGAGGAGCTCGTGACTCTCACAAAGTCACAGAGCCAAATGAGCTCAGATCCATGGCTCCCCGTGTAAACATTTGGTGCTGATGCAGTGGTTAAGTGGCCAGTTCCCAGGACGGATGCAAGTGGGTGAGTCCTGACATGTGATTTGACACTTCACGGCTGGGGCAGGACTTTGGCTACAAGCAAAGTGGGTTGCTGTCGAGCTCCATTTCAATAATGCATGGGATGGTCAGCCTGCCCTCTTTTAAATATTTATCCATCTGCTGCACTGCATAATTAGTAAGAAAGTGATACAGGACGTGCCCTTCTAAAGAGGGTATTAAACCTCGTGGTTATGATCATTTTCAACCTGTCGTTACGTTAGCTTTGAAAACCAGGCCTCCAGAGACATGTTCCTACTGCCCAGAGATGTATCCCCATCCCCCAACCTCTCCATGGGATTCTTTGGTTTCTGATGGTCATCTTGTCCTACAACAGACATGGGCTCCAGGGCCTCCAGGCTGAGACTGTCATGTCAGCTCCAGGTCCTGCCTCTGCCTGCACTCTGCTGCCTTTCAGCCAGGGTTACAGCCCCTCTTCTGCAGGGAGACCAGCAGCTAAGACAACCTCTGCCCGAGGATCCCTCCTGGGACCCCAGTGGCTCAGAGTAGGGATGGTCCTCCGGCTGGAGGGTGCAGACACATGGCCTTATGAACTGGAACACCTCTCTCCTGCCAAGGCCCCAAGCTCAGCATTATCTGCTGCAAAGAGCAAAGCCTCGGTGTGTCCACCCCCTTTCCATCACCCCCGCTAAGACCTGATGGGACTGTACAGTTGATCAGCATCTACACAACAGCCTAAGTGGCAAGGCAAGGCAGCCTCCCTTCTGCTTTGAGATGGACCCTGGAATCGCAGAGCACCGGAGCTGCACGGGGCCAGGGCCAGAGAGGCTGCCTGGTTCAGTCCCCAGACGCGCCCCCACAGGATCTGACACAACATTAGGTTACCTGCGGCCCCTGTTCAGTCCTGACGTCAAAGGGGTCTCCGACGGGCCGTTTCTTGGCATACTCCACGCTCCGCCTGACAAACTCGGTGTAGACCGGTTCCTCTACGAACACCCTGGAGGCGGCCGTGCAGCACTGGCCTTGGTTGAAGAACACTCCCTGATGGGCGCACTCCACTGCCAAGTCCACTGGAGGGAGGGGGGCGGCGGGGGCAAGAGGAAGCGATTAAGTTGTTAGGGCAGACTGGCGACAGCTGCAACTCTAATTGCCCACACCAGAAAACAGGCCCCGGAATGGCTGTGTTTCAGAAATTAATTTTGTTCTCAGTATTTCCCAAACAGAGAGGATGGGAAGAAGGATTTTTGAGTCCACTGAGTTTGGGGTTAAATAGGTCCCCTGACTGCAGGACTTCTCAGTACCTTTGCTATGCTAATGAGAACAGAGAGTTGTGGGACCCACTTCACCTGCCCCTGGATCCCTTCCCTCCCCTTTCTGCAGACTAATGTTCTACAGAATAACCTTTGGGAAGTATTGATGTCAGCCAATTGGCGAGAACTTTTAAAGGAGCCAGAATTTTCCACCTTGAGCAAAAGAAGGGTCTTATTAAGCAACATAACACCATGTATGATTTATAAGGGTTAAAAAAATGCACTGATTCTGCCTGATGAAGGCTAAAGCTGAATTGCAGAGCAGACATTCAATTAAAACCAGTTGCTAAAAGGAACTAGAAAGGTGCTTAGTAAGTAAGATTTTGGGGGGATATGCTTAATGGGATGCTAAGTGGGATGTCATTTATATTCACAGAGGGACTTCTGGCCCCACCGTTGGCTGGTTTTTCAGCACTTACCACTCCCTGCACACACACACCACTGCTAGCTTAAGAAGCACAGCTTTCCTCTGCACAGAGCAAAAGCAAGAGCCCTCTGGACACGGGCAGGCCACCACCGACGTCCAGTACTGCTCTTTGGGCAGCTCCCAGGAACACGGCCCTTGGCTTTGAGAACCAGGCAGCTGCCATCTGGCAGGGTTTTCTGTGTAAGTCGCTGGGGCAGCAGGACGGCATCATAAGGTTCTCACCCTTCCCTGCACCCCCCACCCTCTCTGTGCCAACTTAAAACTGCCCCTCCTCCAAAAGAACTAATTCATTTCCCGCACCCTGATGGGAGCTGGGGGTGGTGGCTGCAGTGGCAGGGAATGGTGCCATGTCACTGTTGATATCATGCCTGGGATGCCAGTGATGTCAGGATTTAACTTTGTGGACCGGCGCTGCCCAGATGAGGAGTTGGAGATGGCTACATAGGGTGTGTACGACCCTTGTCAAACGGACCCTCAAACAGGAGTCCTGGCTCTTTGGGGTTGGAGTTTGGGACTCCAAATGTGGGTTGCAGTGGGGCCACACCCACTGCTCCATGTGGCTCCAGAAACCATTAGTAACACTAATGATGCTTCCACAAGGGAGCCCCAACCCAGGCAGAACACGAGCAGTCCATCCTCACGCTCAGATTCCCTCTCCTTCCTTGGAGCCTGTTTACTTACCCAGGCCTCTCTCCCATGGACAGCCAGCTTCAAGGGAGGAACTGATATCAGTCATTTACACCTTAGCAAGAAATTGTGCTAGGGTCATTTTTTCTCAGGAATATTTGCAATTCCAACCTTATCTGAGTGTGGAATGGAAGGCTTTGTTCTCCAAGAAAGGAATTTCTGGCACCAGTGAGCAGGTGGGGGAGGCTATTCTCTAAGGCAAAGGTGCTTCAGGGTACTTGGGAAGTCACACCTTTGACAGCTGACCTTGTCAGCAGGTGGATGAATGCCCTGTGTGGCCCTTTCTTCCTTCTTCTGGACCTGGCAGCCAAGAACAGCGTATATTTTAATATTGTGTCACAAACTGCCCCCAAGCTGCTGGGCAGGATTGCTGCCCCAGGGAAGAGGCGGTGGAGGCAGAGACAGTACCCAGACCAGGAGGGTATTTTTAAGGGTCAGCTGCCACTGTCCTCTGCTTCATCAGGCCTGAGACAAAGTGGGAAGAAACATCTCAAGTCTTGGGAGAGCCTGAAAGCACCACAGGAAACACTGACTCGGGGGGTGGAATGATCGATGCCTGCGAGTGGGGAGCACCTGCCCTCTCCCCCTTCTCCTGGCCCTCCCCCTGCACGGGGACTCCAGACAAGAAACCGACTGGCTCCTCACGGCCCCAGCTCTGTGGGGACAGGGAAAGTAAACTTAATCTTGAAGGGCAGGACAGGCAGTCCCTCTGGCTCCCACCTAAGACATGCCCTCCTCCCACGCTGCTTTCTATCAGCAACAAAGCTCCCTCCACCTGCCTATTTATGGCAGGACGACCCCAGGTGAGAAAACATCCCCATCGTGTGTGTGTGTGTGTGTGTGTGTGTGTGTGTGTGTGTCTTTCTCTCACTTGGTCCTGAATCTGTGCAAGGAAGCAGGGAGACTTATATGGACCCCCGAAAGCCGCAGCAAGGCCCAGCGGGGAGAGACTCACAGTCAGCATCAGCACACACGATACAGGGGTTTTTCCCCCCAAGCTCCAGTGTCACCCTCTTCAGATTGCTCCGGGAGGCAGCTTCTTTAACCAGCTTTCCAACCTACGGGAAACAAACCAGACCAGATTAAACCTTGAACATGGCTGGATGTGGCCCAAACGTTCTGGACATGCCTGGGAGGCAGTGGGCGCTGTGTGGCCAGGCCCCCGCTTCTCTGCCCAGGCGCCCTGGGCCTTGACGCTGCTGCCTCACTTCCTGGCCTCTCCCAGCATCTCCTCGAAGATCAGACCTTGACACAGCTGGAATCCTTGGTCGGAGCTGCTCCACTTACAGGGGTGGAGTGGGAGCCCTTGGAAGGCCCAGCGACTCGTCCATGGCCACACAGCCAGCTAGTGACAGAGCCGGCTACTCACCTGCCCTGGTGGCTGTCCCTCCCAGCAGCAGGCTGGTCCAGCTAGTCTGGTAAAGGGCTCAAGGGGACCAAGGGGCAGTTCTTCTACCCCTCGCCAGTGCGGGAGGTGGTTCTGTGTGGCTCTTTGGTGTAATCTAAGGGAACCTCTGAGAATTTGGGAAACAGGGAAGCTGACCTTCAGGATGAGGAGGAGCCAATTCTCTGGAAGCACTAAGACTGAGGCTTCCCCAGGGGGTGGGGAGAGGACAGGTGTGCTCTGAAGAAACAGAAGGACCACTCAGCAAACCATGCAGCTCAGCTTCCCCCATGTACCTCAAGGGTCTCTCCTATCACCCCACACACTGCTAGAGGGGAGGCTTGACCCAGCACACAGCAGTGACTTGCCTTGGGCCAGACGCCGGGAACTCAGAGCTGGGAAGACTCGCAGAGACAAATGTGCACAGACAGCTAGCAAGAGGCAAAGCTGGGCTCTTCCAGGGCTGTTTCCCCAAAACTGAGGTGTGAGTACATTTTAAAAATTGGCCAGCTCATGAGTGATGGACTGAAGGAGGTGTGGAATAGATCCACCGTAACAAGGACTGTCCCCAGGAAGATCAATAGAAGCAAAACCAGCCTGCCACAGGCTGGCAGTTCCTGAGAGGGGTAGAGGTGTGCTCTTACAGCTGGACGCAGCAAGGGGGCCTAGGGTGGAAAGCACTCCCGTTACAGAGATGCCTGCCAGTCGAGCACTCCCTGGGGGCACAGAGGCCATTTTCTTATCCATGAAGTTGGTTGCCCAGTGAGAGCACTACCCCGCTGGACCCACAGGCAGCCCTACAGTTGCCTGGAGAGGGTTCAGGGCTCCTCTGCAGAGAAGCCAGGCAGGGGCAGGGATGATTTTGCTGTTGGTGGGAAGACTGGGAAAGCTGCTCCCAAGCTGCTCCCCAGCCAGGTGTGGGTCTGCGGCAGCTCCCGGTCAGTGTGCTGAGCGCCACTGGCTGTTCTACTGCCATGCGGGGCCCTGATGGGTTCTGACTACGCTTCTCGAACAATGCTCACCCTGGCCGGCACAGGAGGGCGGCGGCAGTACTGTCTAGCAGGCCACAGGAGCAGGGCTCGGCCTCCTGGCTGGACTAAACTAGGAGATGGGGACACATTGCGTGGAAAGTGTTTACTCATTTCTTTTTTAAGGACAGAGGAAATACTTTCTCATTAAAAATAGTTCCACATACAGATACACGCAAATTAAGAGGGAAAGTTTTCATCTTCCCTCGCCCCTGCCCCAGGACCTGCCCCAGAGGTGGCCAGGGTAAGAATTTCTTGGCAATCCTTTCAGACAACTTCTATTTCACTACACACACATTTATTGATGGGATCGTATTGTATATACTTTCTTACAGTTGACTTCTTTGTGCTTCAACAATAGATCACAGACAGCTTTCCTTACTGTAATGGCTGTGAAACACCATATAGAACAGATATACTAGACTCCTGGAAAATACATCCATGAAAGCTCATGAGAATATTTCTCTAAGTAGTTGCTTCAAAATGGAATTTCCGAATCAAAAGTTTTACACTTTCCAATCTGTGATCGGTGCCACAATCCTGCCCTCCACCTCAGGCCCAGCGTGGGTGACAGCCTGTTCTCTCAGAGCCTTGATTACACCAGATTTCAGTTTTTACCAATCTGACAGACAAAGGGAGAGTCTGATTCTCATCTGAATTTGCATTTCCCTGCTTACCAGTAAACCAAGTGAGGCTTACTGGGCATTCAGTGTTCTCTTCTCTGAATTCCCACTTTCCACCATTGAGTTTGCCTTTTTTTCATTGATTTTTAGGGGCCCTTCAAATATTATGAATTTTAACTTTTGGAGAGCTGCATAAATTATGACTGTTTTTCTCCCAGCTTATAAGTTATCTTTTAACCTTGATTATGATGTTGTTTGTCCTATGGATGTTTTACATTTTTATCTTGTCTATCAGTCTTTTCTTCTAAGGTTTCTGAGTTCTATTAAATATTTATTTAGTTTGGAAACTGGACCAGTGACTTTTTTTTTTACTGATCATTATGTACTAAAACGTGGTCAACTTTAGAAGGATAATAAATCATAGTTTAGCCTCTCAAAAGAAAAGTTCCCAGGTCTCCAATCAGGCAGCGACTGAGCCAGTGAGGAGCTTACCTCTGTGGACCCCGTGAAGGCTATCTTGCTGATCTGAGGGTGAGAAGAAATCGCTGCCCCCACTGTGGGCCCAAATCCTGGCACAATGTTCACCACGCCTGGAGGGAATCCGACCTGGGAGAAAATCAAGATGGCATTCAGAGGAGGAGGACGGGCCAGTGTCCACCCCAGAGCCTCACTTGGGCCGAGAGCCATGGCTGTATGCTGTCCCCAGGCAGAGCGGCATCCTCTGGGGAGGCCTGGGAAGCTTGGGTCCAGGTCATACATCCACCCAGGACCCAGACCCAGTCGGCCGGTGTGCGGGCTGCGCCAGGGTGAGGTGTACACCCCCCCTTCCAGGTAGTGCTTCTCATCCCAAAAGGGCCTCTGAGCAAAATGGCGGTGGACCTCTGTAGCAGGGCACCATTCTGTGTGTGTGTGTGTCTGTGTGTATGTGTCTGTCTGTGTGTGTCTGTGTGTGTATGTGTCTGTGTGTATGTGTCTGTCTGTGTGTGTCTCTTTGTATCTGTCTGTGTGTGTGTGTCTCTGTGTGTCTGCGTGTGTCTTTCTGGCTGTGTGTCTGTGTCTTTCTGGCTGTGTATCTGCGTGTGTGTCTGTGTGTGAATGTCTCTGTGTGCTATCTGTCTGTGTGCTGGGGGAGGTGGGACACCTTGGTCACAATCCTCAAGGCTCAGAGGCACCTGCAAAATATCCTTCTGGCGCTTCAGCTTTCATTTTTCAAACCAGCCCCATGAATGTTCCAAATGGCAACACAGTATCACTCTCTCAAAGTCCTTGGTGTTGAACCTAGGCCACACCCAGAGCTGGCACTTCCTGAAGGTAGGGGCCGCCATTTCCTTCACATTCACGCCTCGCGCTTTGCATGCATGAGACATCTTTATTAAGCAAAAACACCACAAATGAACAAGGGGGGAATGCTATTCCCCACATGCCCAGTGTCTTACTTAAAACACAATATTTTAGGAAGGCAAGATTTTTGGGCCTGGTGCTTGAGTCTTTAGTTTTTCTAGATGCTGTTTTTTAACAGTTGTGATTTTAGAATCTCTAAGCCTCATTAATATGGCATAATTATGTCCTACATCCCAGGTCAAAGGGAGGTGGAAAACGGATCAATTATTGGCTGCTGCAACCTGCGTCTAAGCAACAGAGGTCGTGCTTCCGATGGTATTAGCCTGGCTGAGAAGAAAAACGAGTGGATCATTTCTCCCACCTCTCTTTCCTTCCTGTTTCTTTTTAAAACTCTTTGCAACATACAAGGTGGGGACAGCATGACTGAAACATGTTGCCAGGTGTGTCTGAAGCAGGTGTTCCTTTGGGTTGCTTCTTTCCCTGAGCCATGGCTGCCCCGGGGAGAGGACAAGCACCCGAGAGCAGAGCATTGGTGAGGAGGCTCCGGGTGAGAGAGCCGGGCTCGGTGGCAGCCACTTCAGTGGGAGCTGGCAAGAGTACCCCTCCAACAGAAAAACAGATCATTTCACACACCACAAATGCAGGGCCTGAAGAACTTCCCGAATATCTGGCTCCCTTTCAAGTAACTCTCCTGCAAACTCTCTAGACAAAACATTTGGTCCTAAACCATAGGTTTGAGCCCATAGTGAGAGTTAAGTATTCTCATTAGGATCAGTGGGAGGAAAGGAGTTTCTTCTAGCTCAGTGACCACAAGCAGGAGAAAGAAAGTGCAGCTGCCAAGTGAAACACAGGAGTCACCCCTCCCACTCAGTGCGAGCAGGCTGGCACTGTCACGCACGTACAGCTCCACAGGGCAGCTTTATCTCGTGACGGTGGCTTGGCTTCTAGGAGTGGGAATGTTCTCAAGAACACATAATATTTTCTTTTCGGACGTCTTACCTCTTTGATGAGAGAGCCCAGATAAAGGGCGGTGAGGGGAGTCTGTTCAGCTGGCTTCACAACCACAGTATTCCCACAGCAGAGAGCGGGCGCCAGCTTCCACACCAGCATCAGCAGAGGGAAGTTCCACTGCAACAGAGCACAGAGGAACTTGGGGGGCCCGGATCGGGTAACCCCACTACCCTGTCCTGGAGGCCCAATGATGCCTCTGTGGAGGACACTTGCTTTGCATGGTCTAGATTTGGGGTATAAAGGGTAGCACAGGAGTGTGCAGTGATCAGAACTGCATTCCTGCTCGGAGCTTCCTAAACTGCATTCTGGGAGATGCTAATTGGTAGTCTTTGCAAAGAGGATTCTGCTGCACGTGCACTACCTTCTCCTCTGGGAGGTTTATAATGTCATCAGCATGTTAAAGCCTCTGAAAAGTCCTGCAGGAACAAGGCTTGCCTCTCCTCAACTCAGATGCCACAGGATCTTTTTCTCTTCTTACAGAATAGATACAAACCTCCCACACTGAATTGGTGCTTGGTGAAATTCATTTTGGGAAATTTTTTTCTTGTCGTCTTTCACCTACAGAGGCAAAGATACTGACATCACTGTGACAAGCCTAACAAGAGGTAACGCCTATTGAGCATCCAGTGCCGGCTGCTGTTCCAAGGACCTCACAAAAACTTAACTCAGTTGATCCCTGCAAACCCATATGATGTAGTCATATGATAACTCCATTTATAGATGAGGGACCTGAGGCACAGAAGGGTGAGGTCACTTGCCCAAGGTCACAAACTAGCAGGCAAAGACCAGGATTCACAGCCAGGCTTGTGTCTTCTGCTACGTTGATTCTTGAAGTGTCATCTTTGACGAGATGAGATGAAACCAAGCATCTCCAAGAGAGCAGTTAACTTGATTCTAGCTGTCCCTCAACTTCCCCCCTAAAAAAAGTCTATTTGGCTCCTTATGCTCCAAGGATGCAAACAGAGGAGCTCACCTACACACCCACCCCCACGGGGCTGACCCAAGGTGGCCACCTCCTGGTACAGCCACTCGAGTTTCCCCTCTCCCACTCTGTCTGGAATTCCTACCATAGACAACAAACATGAGATCCTCATTCCCAAGGGCCTGTGTGCTCCGATAAATGACAGCAGGCATTGTTTCTGGGTTCCCCACTAGTGATCAGGAGCCCCTTTTCTTCCTGAATTCCTGCTCCTTAGCATATAAATACCAACATCTCTTCTAGTCTACAAACAAATATGCGCCTTCCCTTGGCCTCTGCCTCTTCTAGCAGCTCCCTTCTCTCTCAGCACAGCTTCTTGGCAGAGCTGCACCCATGTGCCCGGCTCCCTCTCCGGAAGCCCCAGCAATTTGGCTTCGGCTGTACCTGAAAACTCCCCTGACACTGCTCTCGGAGCAATTCCAACAGCTGCGTTCCTGTTTTTAATTTCTGGGTAGGATATCACCCCATTGTCTCTTTCTGGAAATGTATTCCATCCCCGGGATGCCCCTGACCCTGGCTGCTCAGACTTCTCAATGGGGTCCCCTGGCGGTCTGTGGAATTTGGCCCCAGGCCCTCTTCTTCTCTCACTCTACAACCCCTCTTTGGGTGACTCCCTCCCAACTGCCTCACCCAGCTTGATGCACAGAAGCCCCTCTGGGACGACCATCGCCCAGGGGTGGCTCCAGCCTTGGCCTCTCTCTTGAGCCCCAGACCCAAAAATGTAAACGTCTAATGGGATCCTCTTCTTGGCTGTTCCACTGGCCCCTCAACCTCACCTGCCTGGAATTACAGATATCTTTCATTTCACTCCACCCCAGCCTCTACTTCTCTCCCAGTCTCCCCATCTCACCAATCAGTAATACCATCCACCCAGTTCCAGCCAGGACTCACCCCAGTGTCTGATTAGCCACCAAACTCTATCAACTCTCTCTGCTTAGAAGCTTTCAAATCCACATCTCTGCTTGTCCCTCAAATGGTTCCCGTCTTACCATTTCTCCTGCCATGAATTCCTCCTTCTAACTGACCTGAAAGTTCTTCAGGGGCAAAGGCTGGGCCCCTTCCCTTCATGTCTTCGGTACCATGCCTGGCACATAGTGGTTCTCAAAACTGTTTGCTGAAGGGACAACATCTTCCTTGCCTCCACGAAGCACTTTTCCAATCCTCTCTTCATGCTGCCACCTGTCTCCCCAGCTCCCTGCCTGGCTGCTGCACTGGCCCAGGGCTTCCTCCAACAGACGGGCAGCATCCCCGGCACCTGCAAGGCTCCCCACTTCCCAGTGACTAAAGGGCCAGGCTCTTAGCAGCCAAGGTCCCCTGGAAGCTGGGCCTGTACCACGTGACACGTGTGCTCAACCTCTTCCTCACTCTCTCCCCTACCTAAGCTCTGGCCCCACCAGCTGCCCTGCTATTATTGCCTTCCAAGTAACTCAGGCACTTCCACACCTTGGCTCAGGCCATTCCTACTGCTTAGAGAACACTTTCTCCTGCTGAACAATTCTTTCTTATCCTTCAAGGTCCAGTTCAGAGACCACTACCCTCAGGTTGCTGGCCATTCCTGACCCCTACATTTGGAATCCTCAGTGCCTTGCGCTGCACTCCTGGAGTCAGCCCCTTGAGAGCAGGAATGGGGTCTAATCCATCTTGATAATCCTCAAGCACTGAGCTCCACGCCACACACAGAGCAAATGCTCAATTAACGCTGGTGTGATCTAATCAAAACACCCCAGAAATTGGTTCCAAAGGCCACAGGGGAGTGGGGGTTGGGGCGATCTATATAGATCTATCTAGAAAAGCCGCTGTACTTACGGGAGTGATAGCCCCACACACACCTATGGGCTCATGTCTGGTGAAACACACAACGTTGTCATCTGGAGGAGAGGAAGACACTCGCATTAATCTAGGTTAAGAATTTTAAGTAGTAAAAAACCAAGAAAGAAACCCAGAAGCCCCCAAAGATGTCAGCTCCAAGTCTTGTCTATTTCACAAAGAAGTGATTTTAAATTCAATTTCAAAAGTAAAATTCCTCTGAAGAAGAAGGCATCGCCATTTCCTTTTTGGGACTGTGAAGGATGCCCTGGGGGCAAAGACCAGGAGCACTGTGGAGAGGCTGCCTGAAAGAATGAGAAGACAAAGCCCCAAAGAGACCCCAGACGGGACTGCGAGTCCTGCGTCGGCTCACCTGTGGGGATTGTCCGGCCCTGTATTTTGTCTGCCCACCCTGCGAAGTATCTGAGGGTTTTAATACAGCCCTCCAGGTCGATGAAAAATGCATGAAGGAACGGCTTTCCCGAGTCCATTGTTTCCAGGGTCTGCAATCACAAGACGACACCAGTCTCAGATGCAGTGTTCTTTTCTTTTTAACTGTCAGGTTGTTAGGGACAGGGAGTGGGCAAGGGGAGAGAGCACGGTCCCAGAACACTGCTCTCTGACCTCACAGACATATCTGTCTCTTCAGAGAGCAAGACACGAAATTTAAAATAAGGCTTGACCCAGACTATCAAGGACTGCTTTTATTTCAAAACATCTAAAGCTGGGGGGTCGGCCAGAGCACTGGAAGCGTCCCCATGGAGGACGGTGGACGTGAAGCCTCATGGGAAGCAGTGCAGAGTTAGCATTTGGTCTTCTGTCCAGAGCACAGGTGCCCCAGCCGTGTGACCTGGCCAACGGGTTTGTCCTGGGAAGCTCTGGGAAGGTTAGCTGGCTTCGGGCTGGAGAGGGGGCCAGCTTCCTCTAACAAAGGAGAAGCAAGGACGCAAGAGCAGCTGTGGAAAGAGTGACGGAGCCCAGAAGGGTCACAGCACCAGCACAAAGACGCAATCCTCTAACCGGGCTGTGAGGCCAGATGCGCAGTCGGAAGGGAGCAGACTCGCCCCTGGTGGTGCGGGAGGTGACTACCCAGGGCAAGTGGACAGCTCTCAATGGCAGGGATTCTTTTCTGTTTCCAGCCTGAGTTTAAGAGAACCCCTTTGTCCCTGAGACAAGCGGCCCCAGTGAGCCCAGCACTGAAACTGCCCATCATCCATCTCTGCAGGAAGTGGCCACCCTGACAGATAGCCCAGGGCTGGATTCTTGTTTTAGAGTTGATAGAGTGAGATGATGATTTACAAAGGAAGGGAGGCCCCTCCGCGTGCACCTGCATGCACCCCATCTCTAAGCTTGACATCTCTGTCCCCACTTCAAGGTGTAGACACCAAGCTAACAGAGCCCAGTGACTCATCCAAGGTCACCCGGTGGGTCAGCAGCATGGCTGGCATCTAACTCCCAGCCAGCACGGTGACTGCTCTTTAGGCCACTGCCTCTGGACATTTGCGTCTGGAAAGACTGTAGGACAGCCACGCAAGATGCTGGGGCTACTCGGTCTGACCTTTGCTTCAGGGATGAACCAAGCATTCTCTAACAGGAGGCCACCACTGCCCTAATGTGGGCAAGTCCCTGCATCTCTCTCTGCCTCAGTTTCCTCATCTGTAAAATAAAAATAATAATAGTAACAGTACCTACCTCACAGGGCTGGTGTGAGGGTTAGAGGAGTTAATATAGAGGAAGCACTATCCATGGTGCCTGCCTGCAATAAGGGCCATGCTCACTGTTAAAGTAACCATAGTAACAGCTGAGATGATCATGATCATCTCCCTTTTGGAGCCAGACAGGTGCTCAGCAATTCTCATTTGAGGACACCGAGGAGACAGGGCTGTGAGTTGCTGAAGCCAGCAGGGCTGGTCTGGGTCTGCGATGCGTCCCACCCCCAGGGGATGCTGCTCAGGGACCGAGTCAGGCCAACGTGACATCCAGGACACTGTGCCTTCAGCTCCTATTGATTTACATTCCAAGTTAGAACTTTTATCTTCCTCAGGGAAATTCAACAATCGCAAATAATGCCAAAAGGTCTGCAGGGCTACGCTACTCCAGACAACGTCTGCGCATCTGTTGGTGGAACCAGGAATTTATTCCTGGCCCTTTTCTGGGACGTAAAGGGAGAGAAAGCCAGAGGACCACAGCATAGCCTTGTGGCAACTGTGGGGTATGGGGCATGCAGGCATCTCTGGCTGAGTGACCTTGGACAGGTTACCTAACCTCTCTGGGCCTCAGTGTCCTCATCTCTGAAATGCGATAATACTACAGGTCAGGTGCCTACAATAAGCCTGGTGCGCGGTGAGCACTCGACAAGCATTGGCAATCTTTCATTATTAACGTGGGCAAGTTTGCTCACTGAAGTGACAACATGAATTTGCCAGATTGGTTTTATGGAATCTGTCCAGGCAAAACCGGGTCATGATAGGTTTAGACAGGAAATTCTTAAAAAAACAAATTTAAAAAGATTCGCAGATGAATATGCAGGTCTGAAGCTGAGAAGTCAGGTGTTAGCTACTGATTGGGACTTTTAAACAGATATTGGCCGGACCATGAGTAAACCACAGCTGCTCCTAAGTTTATTTCCTTCAACGTTTTAAGAGGAAAATATGCCTTCTGAAAGATTAACACGTAGGATCCCTCAGACACGAAAGAATGCAGGAAAAGTGCCGTGGGAACCTGCCTCTGGACTCACAGTGTGCCGAGGCTTAACATGAGGGGGCCCAGAAGTGGGGTTCAGGTTGAAAAGAGAGTAAACAGGGAGGGCCCCTAGTTGGGGGCTCCCCAAATGGGCACCCGAAGAGCCAGTCTGGGCCCAGGTCCCTCAGTGAGAGGGAGAAAGGTGGGGCTGCTGGATCCCCCACTTCTGTTTCTAAACATTGAGCACAGAAGTCAATACCCCGCTCTGTCCAAACTTGAGCCAGCGAGAGAAGAGGACGGAAAGAAGCACTCTGTCGCGTGAAAATGCAGGGAAATTGTATCGAGGTGGAGGGCGAGGGGTGCTCTCCTGCAATGTGGTCCGGGCTTTAAAAGCCACATTTGCCAGTAATTCTCTTGTTCCTTTCATGATGTGGCAAAGAGCTGGATCTTAGTTCTCGTGGATAGCCAGGTCCTGACGACGGAGGCAACTGGCTCTGCCTGCCCTCACAACCCAGGCCTGCCCGGACAACAGGGCGGCTGACCGTAAAGGTGGCCTTGCAGCCGCTGCTCCCTAAGAAGATACTGACACTTGAGGACAGGGAGGGGAGGGGTGCCCAGGGCACATCCTCTCTAGCCTGCTGTTCGTCCACATGGACATTGCAGACTGATGAGCTCATGCTGGGTGAAAACAGAAATGTTTTTGAAAAAGCCAGTTTGGCAGCTTGAGAGTTGAGGCTGGCTTTCATTGCAGGAAGAAACTCACTCCATGGAGGGAAACACTGACCCTGGGAGGGAGTCACCCTCACGGGGATTCGGAACAAACACGCAGGACTGGCCAACGGGGGAGGAAGGAAGGAGAGCTCAGCTCCCTTTGCAGACGCACCCTCAGGGCAATGCACCCAAGAACAGCACCCAAGATGCAGAGTTCCTCCACCCTCTACCCCCAAGACACACATTCAGGGACAAAAGCAATTTCAGTGTCCTGGCTGACACAGTCCTCCATGAGGGTGGCCACTCTACTGCTCATTCCCACAACAGATCAAGAAAGGAAAGAACTGTTTTCCCAAATCAGAGGCCAAAAAGGAGATTTCTTCCCCTCCCAACCAGGCCTCAAGGTTTAGAGCAAGTTTTAAATAGGAGTCTGAGCCATATGAGGGCTGCGTGCGCAGGATGCAAAAGACCCCAAGGCACGGGGTGGTCCTGAGATTTCTTCTGATGAACCACTGCAAGACCAAAGGAAGGTCTTAGGATCCCTCTAAATAGTGCCTTTACAACTTATGTGTTCACAGTCCCATCACACGGGAACAACCCCACCTCATGAAGTGGGCTGAATTAACATCCCCATTTTGCAGTGGAGGAACTAAGGTGCCTACAAATTACTGGCCAGAGGGCATGTAACTGAGCAGGGTTTAGAACTTGGGTCTTCAGATAGCATTATTATGAGGACGTTATTACCAATAACAGCCATCACCTATTTAGTGCTTACCGCACGCCAGGGACTCTGCTAAGGATTTTAAATGAATCATTCTCACAACATTTAGATGTCATTATTATTGACATTTTCCATGAAGAAATATATGCTCAGAGAAGTTAAGCAACTTGTCCAAAGTCATACAGCTAGTAAGTGGCAGAGCTGAAGTTTGAACTGAGGTCTTTCATTCCTTCCCTCACCATCATTTCACACATGCTTGCAGCGCCCAGTTCGGGGGTGAAACCAGGGTGATTTTTAAGTGATATGGAGATGATTTTTCCTATGTTAAGTGGTGGCACTTATTTTAATAAGTATTAGAAAAAATACAACCAGTGCATTAAATCTGTGATTTCATGGATATTATCACTTAGGATGAGATTTAATCTAAGTTTAAAAGGCATTTCACATGAAAAAAAAGTTAAGTTCATAAATGTACAGACAGGTAGGAGCACGATACAGCCCAGCCATCCCGCAGTCAGTGAATATCCCAGGCCTGGGAACCACTGACAAAACTGAACTTCCTCCAGGCAACTTCTTGGTCAAGAAACTGAACTGCACGGGGCAAAAGTCTGCCTTCACAATGAAAAGGATGAAGTCCAGGGGCATGGACACCTGCCTACCTCCAGAGAGCTATACCTTCAAGGACTGAACAGACCCACTGTCTCACAAAACCAGCCCTAGGTCTTTCTCCCACACCCCATGGGGGACAGGCCCCTCGGTGAGGTCAGCGAGTCCCACGCCTGACCCGTGTGCATGTACTCACGGCGAGGACAGCGCGGTCCCTCTCCAAGAGGTCAGCCAGCTGGTGCAGCAGCCGGCCGCGGCTCAGGGCATCCAGCTGGCGCCACGGCGAGCCCCTCTGGAAGGCAGCTTGTGCGGCCTCCACGGCCTTGTCCACGTCGGGCTGAGCGTTGAAAACAAGAGAAAGAGAGTGTCACCTTTTGATGCGACTGCAGTTTGGGACAGCTTGCCGGCGGTTACAGCAAACAGCAGATCCTGCCTCTGTCGTGCGGCAGAGGAAGGAGCGGGTGGCAGGCAGGCTGAAAGCAACAGCTAGGTTTTAAATCGCTGATATGGCTGGGGGCTTGCAAGCGATTTTTTTCTTCTTTACATCTTAAGTCTCTTTCAAGATTCCTACAGTGGCCAAGTATTAACTTCCTTTCTGATTATAAAAGCTGTTTGAAATAATTTATAAAACCACCGACCTTAACTAAGTATTTTTCTTGGTGACCCAAGCAGGAAAAGATTTTCCACTTGCTAGCTCAGTTTCAACCCACACAATCCTACAGTCCACAAAGTAGGTGGGAAATGTCTGTCTTGGCATTTTATTCCAGCTGAGAACGGTGGTCCAGTGGTGAGAATGGGGCGTGAGTGCTTCTCTGCATCTCGGAACTGACTACATTGGCAAAGTCCATAGACAGGGAGGACCAGGAACTTTTTCCCCCTTCCGCCTCACTTACCCCCCGGGGGCAGAACTGTCGCACCATTTCAGGCACCAGACACTGGATCTGCCGTGCACTAATAGAAGAATTACAATCGAACTTTCTTTTCATAGAAAGAAACAGAAGTGAGAGCTGTTTAGAGTTAAGTCACCCATTCTTATTTTCAGGAGAATGGTGTTCGAGGCTCTGATTGCTCACGGGCAACGGCTTATGCCCCAGGCCCCTCTGAGCCTCTCTCCCTAGTGGATGCCCGACATAGTCAAGAGGGACACTCCACCGAGATTCTGTGTCTCCCAAGTGTGCTTGGAGGAAGCAGGCAGAAGCTTTGACAAGACAAATACTGGGACTTTGAATTCCTCGTCCCAGGCTCTGTGGGGGGAAGCCAGGACCTTTCCAGCTGCAGGACACGGCAGCCTCTGTCTTCAGGTACTCAGAGTCGTCACCCAGACCAAAGAAAAGCCAGAGCCTGGGGCAGGGATCTCATTTTCCTCCCTGGAACCTGTGTACTGCACCTGGGAATCACCCACTGGGAGTCCTGCTCAGCATCATGCCCCCCACCCCCACACCCTCAGGTCTGCACGTGAGCTCCTCAGTGCTACTTTCTCTGTAAACAGAGCTTAGCAGGAGGGGCTGCACACAGGGGGCCTTACAGATGGAACCACTGTGTACTGCACACCCATCACAAAACCATCACGGTGGGGTCAAAGTCAAGCCTGTTCTACATGCGTCATTCACTCTCTCCAGTTCAACACCACCCACACACTTACTGAGAACATCAGATCAGTGCTCTGCTGTTCGAGGAGAGGCTTACGTTTCATTTCCTTTTCTCCTTATAAAAGCTTACCTTCAACCTTCCCCCCAATGGCACTTACATTCAAAATAGACTTTATGACCTTGGAGTGAATCAAGGACACATCCAGAAGTCCCTTAGCTTATAGTATTTTACACATACATATATATGTAATATAGGATATATTATTATTTATACCCTGCACTATCAAATAAGCTTATAAAGACCACAGCTTTACACGATCATTTAAGTTTCTGGTAGAAAAGAAATCTGGCAATTGCGTGATGCTATTATCCCTGCATGACGTGGTTAGCAAGTCTTTTTTCCTTCAAGTCTATTTTTTTTTAAGTGTCTCCTGCCAGAATGCTGCGTTTGGTGAAACACAACAGCCGGAAATACTTTCTGGGAAGATTCTTTAATGCCTCCAGGTTCAAATAATTGATAAAAACCTTTCCTTTAGCCACGTGATGAGGATAGCTGAGGTCATCCTCATAGATGGAGAAATATCTATCAAAGGAGAGTGACTCTCAGCGGTGGATCGTCCCTAATTGATTCCATTCTGGGCTGTGTGTCTGAGAAGCGGCTAGTGCAGGCCCTCACCCGAGTGTGGGCCAGTTCTGTCTTGCAGCGAAGCCAAACCGCTTCCTTATCCCTTTAGTTATCTGTAATTGAATTACTTAGGAGGGAAAAAAAAAGCACCCACCTTATCTCCTTCTTCCACTTCACATATTTTTTCTAGAGTTGAAGGGTTATATGTTGCAAACTTTTTTCCACTCTTGGATTCGTGCCATTCATTGTTGATGAATATCTAACCAGGAAAGGAAGTTGTAATGCATTAGGTTTAAATCAAAATCATATAATTCCAACATGCTGAGGACCTTAGGTAACGTCTTATCCTTCCCCACCACCTGCCCCCCACCCCCACCCACTGATTTACAGATGGGACCTGGACAGGGGATGGAGTCACATGTCCAGTCGGGAGCACACTCCGAATTAGAATCCAAGTCTCTTGACTTTCAATACGTTTTCAGAGAATTACTTGTTGTCATAATAAAACTGAAGTCACTTAGAATTTTTTCTAAAATGTTCCCCTTTTTTTAAGCTGTAACACGGATTCACAGAGAAATAGCTGAGTTAGTTTAATAAAGGGTGTAAGTCAAATCCTACATGATTGTAGAGTTTGGGGGAAGATTAAATAGGTTTACATATAAAGTGCCACCCATCTGCCTGCCCCTGAAGGGCATGTCAACAGTGAGCACTCCCTTCTCTCTCCCTCCTGCTGTGACCCCCTGCTAGATGGCCAAAGAACTTGCTCTATACAAGGATCCCACTGTCACCCTTCAGTTTTCATTAATGCACATCAGCACTCCCTCCCCCAGTCTCTTTAAAAATGTCTATTTTCACATTGGGCTTAATAAAAGCCAGTGTTGGAACACAAAGATAAATATCTGGGTTAGGAAATGTTCTGGTTATATCAACAGATGTAGCAAATGACGGTTTATATCCAGAACCAAAGAATTAACCCGCAAAATCATCTAGTTGTGGGAGCCTCAATTATTTAGAACACAGGCAAGAGTAAAGATGTTAGAAATAAAAAGACACCATGAGCAAACTAAAAAGAATTCACAAAGTCCACACACTGAAAATTGCATACTATTTACTCTTAGTTTACTCTAAGTTCTAACTGCCTGAAAAAGCACTGCATTAAAAGAGAAGGTTTTTGGAAAGAACTAGGAACAGAGGTGAGAGATAATATACGACACACGTTCTGACACGTCCCGGCTACCCGGCGAGAGGACAGACAACCTCCTGCTGCACCAGCTTGGGACAGCCTCGTCATTACAGTCCACCACGGCGTCAGCAAGACTCCAGTGGCGGAAATGGGTGACATACGTAAGAAGCATTTCCATCCAATAAAACGCTGTCAATAATTTCTAAGTACAGAACTAGCTCATCAGATTCCATATCTTTTGCTTCTCTTCAACTTGTTTAAAAGAAGAGTTAATTACAAGGGCTAATTTCATTTATTGTGAATTTTATTCATTTGGAACACTTGACTCTGCAGTGATGACAGGGGAGAGGGGAGACAGGGGAGAGGGGAGTCGTCTCATCCAGTGCGCTTCTTGGTTACATTCTCCATCCTGGGCTCTCCTGCAAAAACTCCGAAGCTCACTGGGAAGGAAGCCCGCTCTGGGAAGCTGCTGGCGGAGACTGTTTTGACAATGCTCCCTAGAAAGCAGGAAAGTCGGCATTTGGTGGGGACTGGTGGAAGGCCGGCTCTGGCTGGGCAGGTAAGAGCACCGCCCCCCGAGCCGCCCCATTTGGAATCCAGAGCTGAGAGCGTTCCTCGCCCGTGGGATGTGCCCATCCAACTTCTGGAAGCTCAGCGCCTTCAACGTGAGGCCAGGCCCCCAGGGAAGCGCAAGGAAGAGGCCAGGCTACAATTACAGGTTTATTCTTCCAGCTGAAACCAAATCCAAGAGTTCACTTTTGCCATCCAGCAAGCAATCGCTTGGTAACAGGGAGAAATTAATAAGTGGAGAAGAGGAGTTGAGTTAGCATGGGGAGGAGAGTACAGCCAGGAAGAGAGGCCCATTTGTCAGAAGATGAAATTTCGTGGGTTAGATAATAGAGACTGTCAGTGAAAACTGCTGATTCTAGGTCCTTCCTGGTGTCAGTTCCAGGGGGGAGGGAAAATGAGAAGGTGGTGGAAGAGAATACAAATAAGGGGATGGAAACAGATTGCAATGATCGGATGTCTGTTATACTTCATCTCCAAGCATGTTCCTCCAAAAAAAAATATTACGTGGTCGTTCATGACATTGATCTCGAGTCCTTTCTAACCAGAAACTTAAAAAAAATTCAGACTGCTCAACTATGACCATATTCTCCCATCACAATGTTCCTAATTTAGTGAATTTTTTTCTTTATTCTACACTAGTAAATAATCCTGTGAGTGGTTTCTACTGTTGATTTTCTCTCCACTAAAACAAAACAAAAACACAAATAAGGAAGGGGTCAGTGAGTGTGGCCTATCAATTATGCTGGCTGTATTGTTTCAAACCCCAAATCAGGATAACGGGTCTAGAAAAGAATTGTTCTCCTTGACTTGTGAATTGGTCTGAAACAAATCTTACAGAGATATAAAATTAAGTTACATTAATCTGTAGACAAAATTCACATTTTACTAAAGGAATGGAATGGCATGTTCCCTGGATTGGGCTGGAAAACCACAACTGTTCTGAGGAACTGGGTGCCCCGGGCGGAGGTGAAGGTGGTGAGTTCTGCTGACACCATTTACAGTAACTGCCATTGGACCCCAGCTAAACTCAAAAGGAGTATGTTTTCAGAAAAGGAGATTTGAGGGAATTTTATTTTTCATAAAAGAGATCATAAAAATTGGTGTTTTAATGAACCAGAAAATGTCAAAGAGAATCTGCTACTGGAAGAAAATTTATAAGGAAAGGAAGGGGCCCTGTAAAGTCAAAGGGGCCGCTATCCTCTGAGATCTGTGGTGGGGCGGTTCCCGGGGGACCCTCCCCCCACCAGAATCACACAGCCGAGCCCAATGTTAAACCGTGAGAACAAATGAAGGAGCTTCAACAAGATTGTTCATCTGGAAATTGGACTCACCCTGGGAAATGGCACCCCCAAGGCCGGGGCTCAGACCACCATCTCTGGTGTGTCCTCCATTTGCGAGAGGCACCGTGAGCCAGGTTTGAAAAACAACAGATCATAACGGGCTCACACACTCCACCCCTCCCGACGCCCACCCTGGGCCTCCATCCTGCAGTTCTGTTTCTTCTGCTCTTTCCTCGGCCCTGTCGGCTGCCTCTCCAGACACAGGCTCCCCAAGTATTGTTCCTCCAGCTGCCCACTAGCAGCAACAACCACACAAGCTGCCTGGGCCCCACGACTGCTAGGAGGAGGCCTCTGCAGAGGTGGGCCCAGAGCAAGGACAGAGCAGGCAGAGGCCTCGCCCTCCTCAGGGAAGGAGGTACAGTGGCCATTGCAGCCATCATTGCCTGGGAACCCCTCAGGATCCTGGCTGTCCATCTGGCCCCCTCCATCTCATCACCTTTTCTATGCCTTAACCACACCCCCCGGTCTGTTCCACTGGGAAGAGGGGACACCCAGCAAGACAACAGACACTCTGTCGCCGCTCTGTGAATCTGCTGGGGTCCTCCTCTATAAGGGCTGCATTTACACTCATAGAGGGCCATAAAGAATTGCAGAGATAGAAGTAAACTTTCCATATGTGGCTGTACTGCTCTGATAGAACTCAAAATGGTAAAAAGTAAAAGGACAATAATGTATGCAATTTCTGGGTTTTATATTGTTTAAAAAACGGCTATAAAACAAAACACGACCACCAACAGGCGAGCTGTTAGGGTCTGAAAAACTGCAGCTCCTATTCTCACCGTTCCCATAATTTGTGTTGGAATTTTCGCTCTGAAGCCAATACTACTAGGGGAACTACATAAAAATAATCTCCAGCGATTACAGTGAAGTGTCTCTGTTGATTACAGAGCCCTCTGAAAACAGTTAATTTAAATGTCATATGATCAGAGGCCCAGCCGACATTAAGTGGCAAGAGACCAAAATCTGAAGGCCACACATAGCGGCCTGCAACTTTCTCTGCTTGATTAAAATTATTTGAGAGACATAATTGCTACTTTTGAAAGTAAAATTGATGGGGGAATTTTCTAAGTGCTTTGCCAGCTGGAGTTGGGGGCTATGGATTAGACGCAAAAATAAAAGAAGACAAAGCTGGGGAAAGGGAAGACAACTGCGGCTCTCCGCCTGCGCCCCTGAAGTGCCCCCAGCTCCAGCCCACGACCTCCAAACAGCCTCGCGGTGTCCTCCCAGGGGACGCGCCCCGGGAGGCGACGCGGAGCTCGAGGCCTGGCCATCTTCCTTTCTGCCCTAGGCAGGTGATCTCACTGCTGTACCCAAGCTCCAGCCTACCTGGCCCGCAGCGCAAAAAGGCAGACAGCCTCGCGACTCCGCGGCGCAACGAGGCCTTGCCACCCGCGGCTTCCTAGGGCCCAGATCTGAGACCATCAGGGATCGCGTTCTACGTCTGTCAACACCAGGGCCTCTGGGCTCCAGAACAGTTTCATCAGCGATCACCTTCCTACTTCTCCTTGCTCTACTAGTAAGCTAAGTACAAGCTAGGCACAGAAATTGCCAGACGTTTCTCCCGTTGCTCCTGATGACACGTTTCTGGAATCTTCCAGTTGCAGCGTCCCCGATGTGGCCTGAGCTCTCAGACCAAGTCTTGGCGTTCTCGCACCCTCTGACCCTCCCGAAGCCCGACCCGTTCAGCCCCGGAAACCATGTCGCAGGGTCCGCGAGGAGACCACGGCGCCCGAGGCACCGCGGCCGCGCACCGCCGCGCGCCTTCAAAGCGAGCCTTCAAAGGGGCACGTCGGGCCGCGCCGGACTGCAGCCTGGCACGGCGCGGCCGCTGCACAGCCGCCCTCACGCGGCTTTGAGGCTTAGAGCGCTGAACTCTGCCGCCCCAGAACCCGTCTGGGGTGTGGATCGCGGAGTCCCCTTCGGGGTGCGGGATGGACGCGCGCGAGCGTGGGCTCCCGCCCGGGATGCCCTGTGCTGAACGCAGCTTCGGGAAAGCCCGGCCCAAGCGAAGAGGCTTGGGCCACGGGAGCTCCGGGCGAACTCAGCTGAGGGCGCGCCGCCAGCACCGCCCGGCACCCCCAGAGAGGAGCAGCGGGGCTCTCGGCGTGCTGGCCCCTAGTCCCCGCCACCCCGGGCCGGCCAGCCTAGCGCAGAGCCAGGCGGCCGTCGAGTGGGATAGGCGTCCACCTCACCTTGGTGAACTTGACCTCCAGGTTGCGGATGGGGCGCGGCAGGGCAGGCGGCTTCCTGTCCGGCTGCCCGTTCTCCACGGCCCCGTTGGTGGTGGCCATGGCTCCTCCGCGCTCCCCGGCCCGAAGCGCCCAAGTCTGCGGCCCCGGATCCGGCCTGGGCGGTGCGCAGCCTGCTCGCGGGGTGACAGCTCCGCGCCGCTTTATGGAGCGCCCCACGCCTCCCGCCCGAGGGGGCTGTCTAATTGGCTGCAGGACGGGAAGAAGGG